CTTGAGGGTGTGAGTATGAGTTTAGTTGTTATTCACTCAACCCACACCTTCAAGATGGTTGTAGAAGACAGAGAGTATCTGGAAGCACTTATTTGTACCTCTGCTTATTGTATTAATTTTTTGTTCATTGTCATGTTCTTTTCCATTACTTACTCAAGAGACAGAGGTGTGCGGGTCACGGGTTTCTACCCGCGGGGGGCCACGTGGCCACGTGGCGACGGGCGGGCGGGGATGGTTTTTTGAAAAATTTGCTCGGGTCGGGCGGGCTACGGGTATTGCAGACTAATCGGCGGGCTGGACGGGTACAAAAAAAAAATAAAATGATACGATCCTCGGGCGGGCGAGGATAATTTCCACGGGTTACGGGCGGGTAAAGAAATTTTTTGAGATATAATATAAGACCGTCGAGAATAATCGATAGATATGATTGACCGACAGTTACGCGCGGACATTTACGCGCATGACACTTACGCGCGCGACGGTTGAGCGTATAGACATTTGCGCGCGAATTGAGAAAAAGATGATAAAATATATTTTTTTTAAATTTCGTTTGAATTATGAACGGGCAGAAATATATGCTTAACTGCTGATGAAAAAATTGTTCTTAATTTCAAAAAACATATTGATATAAATTACTAACAGAGATAAGTAGTATTTACTTACAATAAACAAACAAATACGCTAAGTGAACAATAATTGAGAATAAAGAATGTACTCGTTCAAAAATTAAACACTGATCTGGCTATTTTAAAATAGTCATTCCTAGAAACAGTATGATATTCTTCGACCATGTTTCGTATTCGAAGATCAATTTTTTCATATTTTATGCGTTGGTCTTTGCCTTTGACTGATTTTATAAGAGACATTTATATCTTAGAAATTATTAAAATAATACGCACATATATATGTATACTTTCTCTTTATACTTTTATCTGATTTATTTTTTTTAGTTTTAATCTCATTTTGATACAAAAAGCAAGTTTGATATTAAAACTAGATAATCTTTTGATTCTCATTAATATCTTCTATGTATTTTCTTAATAAACCAGTCTCACTAACAGAACATTTTTATTTCTGTTAATACATATGAGTAATTCAATCAGACGAGAACAGAACGCAAAGAATTTTTTTGCGCGCAAGCGTCGTGCGCGTTTATGTCTTGAGCGCATACATCGTGCGCGTAACTGTCGGCGCGTAAATGTCGGCGCGAAACTGACGTGTCACGATTTTTTCATGTGATAAATCTCTTTATATGATAAATAAATTAAATATATAAGATAAACAATTTATTAAAATTTCAATCATTAACTGAAATATCTTCGGGGTAATACGGGCGGGGCGAGGCCCGTCAGAAAATTGACGGGGCGGGCGGGCTAGAAAAAAAAAGTAGGCTACATGGGAGGCGGGCGGTGCGGGTTTTAAAATTTGACGGGCGGACGAGGCGGGGAAGAGTTATAAGAATTTGCCCACAAAGACGGGCGGGACGGATTTAACACGTTACACGGGGCGGGGCCCGCGGGGCATCAAAAATCATTGCCCCGCACACCTCTGATTCATAGTCACACCCTCACAACATACTCTACTTCAGTTATAAAAATCTGTATTAGAAACATTTTCATGGTGATAAAGTAATTTTTTTAAATAACATGTCGAAATAGTTCCACTTCCGATAGATACAACTCATGTAAATGCTACACAACTACTGTTATTTTTACATCGTCTGTACGCGACGTCATCTCATAGAATATGATCGTCATTTTATGAAGAACCATAAAAACTGAATTATAACTAGCTCAAAATCGCTTGCGGATCTCATGGTGTGGGATAGATCTTTAGAATGAAAACTTAAGTTGTTTTTGAAGAATCTGAATTTATTTCCATCAGTACCATTTGTAATAGATGAGTTTCAACTTCAAAATCAACATAATTATTCATCATTTTTCTCACACTATTGTTAGATATTCTATTTTTATACAATGCATTAGATAACATCACACAAACTATATACATTCAATCACTCACTTACACAGGTACACAAATACCCATCAAATATTCACTTCATAAAGTATGTAGCAGTGAAGTTGTTGATATCGATTATGAATGTGAATAATAGAAACACTCACACCTACCCTCGATATACAGTGAAAAAAAAATCAAAATAAAAGTTTTTTTTAAATATAAAATGTTTTATTAAAATTTCGATAAATTCTAATGATATCAACGATAAAAAGTTTAGCTACATGCTTCACCACATGGTTCATCATTGTCACTGTCTTTACCACGTTCATCAGAAGAGTCTTTGGGTAATTCAGATTCAATTGATTCAATAAATGCATTAACATCCCGTGATTCTTTGCTTTCTTTCGTTGGTATGTGATCATCTGTACCTTTTTTCATATCTAGCTTCTCATATTGATGATAAAGTCGTTTTGCCCAGTACAAATGTTTAAGAGCTTCTTGTGATTCAGTGTCTTTAGGAATTCGTCTACCTCGTTCAAAGAAATAATCAGCTATATCATGTGTCATTCGTTGTAATAAATCTGCTTCATGATCAAACATTTGAACATAATCCAAATAATCCATGCACCAATCCATTTGCTTTTCAATGTCGCCACAAAACACATAAACTGATGAATACGATTTATCAGCAATAGGATCGGTGAAGATATTTCGATATCCTTCAATAATTTTTGGTACAGCACTTCGACCCATTGTTCCCGATGTAATAAAAAAGATTCGTTTGTCTGGATTTTTCTCAAAAGCTTTTAGACAATCTTGCTCATCATCGAATGCTTGAAGAAGAAACACTACACCTTCGAACACTACGGAAACGGCCTCTCCAGAAACAACCATTTGATCATAATCGTTGTCATTGAGCATAGTCCATGTCTCACAACGTGGATCAGTATTACTACCAAATGCTTTTTT